GTTCCATTGGACTACATCTCATTCTAAACGGCCGGACTGACAAATTGACCATTCCTCGTAAGATCGGAGTGGACCTGAGGTTCCCGCAGCGAAAAAAGCTTCGCGCTGCGAAAAGCGAAAAAATCGCGTTCCGTCTTGGCGAACAACACCGAACGGGCACCGCCAAATGTTTTGACATTTTTACCTAGAAGTCATTCGGAATTTTTTTCCGGGTTGAAACGAAGTTTTGAAAAAAAATTAATAGCTACCTACATCAATTTCACACTACAGCATATCGTAATGTTATGTAGAACTGATTATACCGGCACGGAAATGACGAGGATGAAATACATACCCTACAACACCATCTGTATACGACGCTGTGGCCATACTTTTGTTGGCATTCATCATAGAACCCATAGACAGAAGAGATCTTACGAGATTCATGATTACCACGTAGAAGTGTCATGCGATCAGGATATCTAAAAACGCTGTTAATGTCGGAAATGGCCTTGATTATGAGCACATCATGACGACACAACTTTAACGTCAATTGTTTACACAGCCGCAAATTTGATAAACAACGAAAAATTCCCAAACAATGAGACAACGGAGACCTGAACGGAGGGCTTTATCGATGCGCAAAATATGATTTGAAATGAGAGGTTCCCTCTAGTTGAACTCAAGGCTTCCCCATATCGCAAAAAGGACTCAATAATAAAAAAATAGGTGCCCCGTGCAAAAGATTAAAAAGGCAGTCGCATCAATTTGTTTTGCATCTGACTATGGAGCGGTATCCTTCACCGAAGTATCCAATAAGTAAAAACAAAATTACGCATGCATAGATGTTGATGGGAACTATGTGTATTCCGTGTTAGTATGGGAAATGTTCCATATATAAGGCCATTTTCAAAACCGCCACCTCATTAACCTTCGTAGGAGCAGCATGTCGATCATGAAGTCTAGAAGAGCTACGATTCTTCGGTTCTAATGGGGCTGTTATCAGCCCTCGAGAGGAAGGCATCGCGTCACAGTATCCCCGACTGGGCTGCATGCTAACTGACCTAGGCCCTTTCTCCGGCTTTATCACAAGGCGAGATATCGCGGTTGCATCACAAGATCCGCATATGTGCCAATGCCACGAAAACACCGGGGAGAGAACACAAATGAAAGAGCATGGAGTGGTTAAGAGGCGCATATTTTGCCGCTTAGATCGCTGCATTACGAGCAACAACTCAACCAGGGCAAGTACACTATACTTTCCGAAAAGAAAGGCTTTCCTCCCTGGATGCTACTCCAGCCTCTCACCTGTAGGAGGGGGGGGGAGGTAAAGACCGTATCGTGGGAACCTCCAACCAGCTCCATGTACACTTGAATGCGCACTCGGGAAATGGAAAAAGGTAGCACATTCTTATTGTGAGGTATAGGGGAGCAGGGTGAATATCGCTTGAGGATTCCTCAACGGCACGTCGAGGATTCTCTGCCCGGTCAGACACGATCTCTCGCGCGGACATTCACACTCGCCATGGCGTGCCGTCTGTGCTCTCCGCGCGGATGTTCACTCTCGGCACTACTCTCGCATGGTAGAGAGCTATGGTCGAGGAAATCCTCGACCGTTATTCACCCTGTGGGGGAGTCCTTTTTCGCCCTCCCTCCCCGCCCCCCCCTAAATGGTCAGGCGCAACGACAAGGCGTGCAAGCCCCCCTGTTGCATATTTTAAGTCACGAGAAGCGTCGTAACTTCTTCGCATGCAAAAGTTCTTGCGCTAGTCGTATTTAGTCTATCATTTACCAACAAAAAGTCAAAATCTCGAAACTTACTTCAGTAACAATGCGAAGAGTAGCCCTCCTCGCTCGCGGTTTCTAAGCTATAATATCCTCGATCGACGTAGTCTCCCATGAAAACATACTTCGTAGCTGGCGCTTCTCCACCTATACATTGAGCCATTGAGCAATAAAAGCAGCAGGTAGTTAGCTGTGAGCTTACCAGTACGAAAAAGTTCCAACAAGTCATAAAACTGCCCATGAATATCTCCACAGATGGTTACTGGTGTTTCAACAGGAACCACATTAGGTTGTCGTATAAGACGATCAATAAGACTGAAAAGAACAAGAACGGCTGAGTTAGAGCATAAAAGCTTCGTAAACGTCTTCTCAGGAGCACCCAGTCGGAACACCTTTTCTTTTCAATTGAGAAAAATTATTCTCTGAATTCTAAGCGTTTGAAGATGTGTGTCGATGAGCAAACAAACTTTGTTATAGGGCGGCATATGGTGTCAAGTGCGACACTTAGAGCCAAATATCGCCGTGCGCAGAGACCCTAGTTTCCATGCGGCACCACGTAGGTGTCTGAATACAGATAGAACTGATAGAGACGGCCGTTGAAAGACTAACGGCCTGTATGCGACCACTAAATGGTTAAGTGCTGACGCGCCAATGTGATTTGCTACGCAGAAGTGTTGCCGAGATGAGGATAAAATGGAACGCAAACACATTTGCTCATCCCAAGGGAGTGATACGCAGCAAATGAAGACGTATTCGGATAATCTAGTTTTGCAGAAGCGTATCTAAATTTTCCGAATAGTATAGAACGTCCTTTTCAAAATAGCGATAAAGCGATTTAAAAGCGTTTGTCAATTAACAGCACAGCGAACTGCGTATAAAGAATGGAATAATATGAACGCGTGAAATATACCCTATCAAGAGCACAATGACAAATTTTGACAAGATATCAACATCCTTACCAACTACAAAGTGAGATCATATCCTCTTCGGGCAAATATTTGCATTCTTTTGCTATTGAAATCCATTCATCTACGCAAGCATAGCGTTTGCTTAAAACAGCGTTCAGTCATTAAAAACACGAGAAATGTTGAGAGACAATATACTTCATCAACTCACACGCTTCGACTAGTCAGCTTGTCCTCGTTCAGGACTTCTCTGATTTCCTCTGGAACGTCGGAGTCGGATGGCATTACAGTAAAAGTCGAGTTCATTTCAACATCATGCATTTTGGGTTTACGCCAATCAACGGGTAAACGTGAGCTGAGTACTGCAAATTGATTCCGATCTTAATGAAAATGGTACGCTACGAATGCTCTAAAATATGATATAGGACAAACACATAACCGAACAGAACGGCGTTACGAATACAGATGAAAAAAGTGCAAAATTCATTCGAAAAGGGAAACAACAACAAAACAACAAAGACTATCAGCCTAATAATAACACATATACTTCTGAGACTGAAAAAAAACAGGAATATGAAATAATGAAATTCAAAATATCCTAACGAAATAATGAGACCATTCCTAGCTCATCTTTTAAGTTGTCATTAAGATTAATTAACACTACTCCAGTAGCTAAAATTCAATTGAAAATTTCACCGACATTTCATCACTTTGGATGCACCAGCGTTGTGCGTCACGTCGGGCATTTTCCAAGAACTCTTGAGCATTTGATTTTTACAGCATGTAATCTCAACGATTCTGCTTTACAGAAATTTTCAAGCGCTCAAATAAATCACCATCAAAAGGAAAAACGAGGAAAGATACAAAAAAAATCACAGTCTAGCGAGAGTTTTCAGCTGTCCGCAACGACACCGACCTGTGCAGCTCGAATGGGCCGATCTTTCAAAGAATATCCGACTTTTGAAACATGCATTACATGCCCAGGCTCGACCTTCGTATCCTGAAAAGCTTTCAAGTTGACCACAAAAATAGTGCGCATGGATTGCATAACATCGATTGAAAGCTCACCTCCCCTGCAGGAACTTGGAACACTGCCTCATGCAAATTGGGATCGAACTTTTCACCCATAGGATTAACTTGAACAAGTCCGTGCCTCTTGAACGTTTTCAGCAACACTGTTTTAGTCATCACTATGCCTTTATGAAGATC